CTTCTAAAAGTCTTTTGGTTTTGTGTTTTGCATTTAGTTCTATGATACATTTTGAGTTATTTAGGGAAAGGGTGTAAGATGTGTGTCTAAATTCATTTGTTTGTCTGTGGGTGTCCAGTTCTAGCACCATTTGTTGAAAGGACTATCTTTGCTCCATTGTATTGTCTTTGGTCCTTTGTCAAAGATTACATATATATTTCTGAGTTCTGTCTTCTGTTCTATTGATCTGTTTATCTGTTCTTTCACCTGTACTACAATGTCTCGATTACTCTAGCTTGAAGTCTTGAAGTCAGGTAGTAATAGTCCTCCAATTTTGTTCTCCTTTATATCATGTTGGCTATTCTGGGTCTTTTGCCTCTTTATATAAACTTTCAAATCAGTCTATTAACATTTGCAAATGAACATGCTGGGCAGGATTGATTTTAAGGATATACTTTTCTGGGAGTTTGTGCCAGTATCCAGAGCCCTAAGTCTTCAATTGGCTGGATTAAATCCCTCTTTTCTGAGCTTGGGGTAAAGGATTCAATATTTAGAGTTTCCTGTGTTTGTATATTGTGTACCTGGGCCCAAGCCATAAAATGCAATCATGGGCATAAAATGGGTGTCCCAATTGCATGAAGGAGAATGCTGGGGCTGGGAGAGCAGGGGGTTAGCACTAACCATGATATTAATAATCATTGTCATCACTGTTGTCACCATCATCATCATCATCATCAAAGAATCTTGTATTTATTGAATACTTACTAAATGCAAAGGCCTGAGTTCAGTCCCTTTCCTGGATCATGTCATCAATCCTTTCAACAACCTTCTGAGGCAAGTGCACATATTACTGTCAATTGAAAAAAACAAAGGCTCTGAGAGGTTAAATAACTTGCCCAGGGTCACATGGTTAATAAGCTGTGAAGCTGGAGTTCAAACCCACTCTTAACCCCTATACTGCACTGATTCTCCCTAGCATTCCTCTTTCACCCTGGTGTAGTAATGCTGACCATTCTATATCCAGCATTCAAGCTTCCAGAAGGATAGCTAAGGTCAGCTCATCATCCTGTTTTGAATAGAAAGTCCCACAGACAACTAAACCTGAAAAATCCTCTCTACTCTAGTTCCTTGAAACTCTTTCTGTAAAACCCACACACTTGAGAAATGGAGCCTTAAGCATTCTCTCCTCCCCCTTTCACCTGCTTCCCCATGGCATCCAGTTGGTTACAAACCTCTCTTGCTGTTTATTTCCCTCTTAATAAGCCCCATCTCCTCTCGGAAAGCCATTTAGCACGGCACCACTTAATTTCTCCTCGAAGCAGAATCTGCCAGATGGAGTCTTTGTCCCAGGCCATGTTGATTTGTCTTATTTTTAAACAGCAGTGAGCATCCCATGAAACTAAAATAGCAGTTGGTTCCCAGGTGTGACTTACTGAGCAGGGAGGTGATCAAGAGCGTATGGACTCATCCACCTGAGGCAGCCGTTCCAAATGACTTCCTCAGGTGGCACCCAGCCAGCTGCTGGCCACATCTGGATGTCATTTGATGCAGGGGCACGCCACTTTTCCGCGTCAACTGAGTTCAGCCACTCATCACCTCCTCTGGTTGTACCCCCTTGGGCTGTGCATCCTTGCCTTTTCCACAGACATACTCATACTTCTGACATTGGGGAGACAAAATGGACCCCAGAGGATAAAGAGACCAGCACAAAGTGGCCAAATGATAGAATGAAATGTCTCATTTTTTACCCTGATGTCTCATTTTTTTATTCCCAAACATTCATTTAAAATCTGTCTTTTATTCTATAACATAACAATGTTTGGATTAATATAAATATAATCCATCAAATTATGTGCCAGCTAAATTACTAAACCATATCCTCCCCCCACACACACACACAAAACATGTTTTTTAAAACTAACATCCCAAAGTCATGTTGATTCTGTAGCTTCATTATCCCAGGCACACATAATAGGGTGTGTGCCTCTGGTTTGAGAAGCACACTCATGAAGATGGGCAGTCTTTCTTATGGAGGGAATGCCTACAAGAGGGACTAGGAATGTTTCTTTACTGCCACATGTCATCCTAAGGATGAGAGGATTAATCTAAAGGAAAGACAGAAGTGATTATTACTAAAAAGGCAGTGACTTCCCTGGGATCTAAGGAATAATAGAAGTCAGAGGCTGATCTGACTTACAGCATCTTGGGTGGCTCCTCTGACCTCATTATACCTATCACCACAATGAGAATTGACAAAACAATAATCTAGCTCACCTCACAGAAGTGACTGCGTATATACCATAAACACATCTCCATAACCCTCCATCTTCATCACCTTAAAGCTCAGATCCCATAATAAGCATTGGAGTCCTTTATTATAAGGGGGAAGAATGAGATTCAGTGTTCGTGGATGGAGGTATGTTGGCCTTGCCTCTTATATGCCTATGTTTACAGCAATCCCAACCAGCACTTGCAAATCTTCTCAACCAGTGTGCTCTGGAAGTATTGGCAATTAGTTAAAGGCATTTTCCCTAAACCCAATCTCAAATACCAAATATAATGCTGAGATTATAGCAACCAGTTGATACCTACCATGCCCAAAGGCGTCATCTGACAGGACACGGAAGTCAAAATGGGGAGGTAGAGAAGAAGGGGGACAAGTTGAGCGATAATCCTTTATTCCTTGGAGTAATTTTGCTGTAATATTTAGGAATTTTTTTGTTTTGTTTTGTATTAAGCACCGCTCAAAAAGAACAACAACAAAAGCAATAAAGCCAGTCTTTCTTTGACCCTGTGAGATTCCTTCTCCCATGGAGACTATGGGCCATTCCAGTTCCTTTAAGTAGCCTTATACTCGAACATTTAACAGGTATTCTTAGGGCCACTATGAAGAAAAAAACAAATCCTTCCCTGAATCAACAGAAAGACCATGAATTATTTGATAATAATATTCACATTCCTGATGGAAGAGTATCTACCCTAAATATATCAATAAACAGATAAGTATATTTCTGAAATATCATTGAGAAAAAATATGGGGGGCTGTCCCCATTCTTTACAGGAAAAATAAGTGATAAAATAAGCTGATGGAATCAAAAAGTGTTTAGAAACCTGTTAAATGTCCTTCCATGGAAAGAAGCACCATTACCAAAATGCTACAGATATATTTGCCCTTAAATACTGAGAAATGGTCTCAGTAGTCATTTGGATGATATTGCCCGTGGACTGATTGTAAGAGTAGCTGCTTTGCTATGCTTTCTGGAGCCATGGGAATTTCCACAGAATTCTTTGGGTCTTTATCATGGCAAGGTGCTCCCCAATACTAATGTCTCTGATTATTTTATAGACTCAGATCAGATCTTCCCTTAGTTGGCATTTCAGATGAGAGCGCACTCATTTCAGGGGATTAGGGGAGTCCTGTTCATGGATATTTTATGGTAAGAATAATGGAGTCTTAGGAAGGCTTATTTGGGGTTCTCTGGAGGGTACCAAAGTAGGAAAGAAGACCTCAAGTCCTTCACCTCCTTAGGGACTTTTATGAAGTCAAAAGAGAAAAGCAAAATTCCAGTCATATCTCTTTCTCTGTGAAAGAGTAGTCTTGTCATCGCCAGGACACCCAGATTCCAACAGAAACAGAAGCAATAACATGCCCAGAGGCGCTCAACACCAGTGGAGAAAAACAGCCGCGCCTGGGCTCAGAGGCACCCAGCTGCAAACCAGCTGGGTTTGGTTGAAAAGACCACATGTAGAATATTGGTTGGGTTCCAAATCCCATATTTAAAGAGGAACATTTCCAAATACAGCCTTAGACAAAACACCCACCCTTTAAGACAGGTATTAAAACTATCATACAAGAGTAATGAAGGGCACTTGGAGAGTTAAATCTGACTTGGCAAATCCAAAAGGCTTCAGGGAATATTTGATGAATGTCTTAAAATATTTATAAAATGGTAGAAGATGGAATAGATCACATTGCTCAAGAAAGCAGATATAGCTGAATATTTGGTGAAGTAGAAGGAATATTTTCTTAAACTTAAAATGAAATGTGCTCCCTTGGTAGTAGGGAGTCCTTTCACTGGTGGTGTAAAAGCTGAGACTGCCATACCCCCTGAGACCTGAGGAGACAGGGGAATATTTTTGAGGAGGTAGGATCTCCAAGCAGTAAAAACTGTGGAGTTGGATGTCAGGATGGACCTGGACTCAGGTTTCAGTTGTTTTTATAAGACTTTGGGAAATTTTTCTTGGACCCTCAATTTCCTCATTTGTGAACTGGGTCTAACAATATCCATTCCAGTGGGTATTATTATGCAAATAAAGTATTAACTATCACTAGTGCCTGGCACAGTAGAAACGCTACATTTGTGATTATTGCTGCCACTATTTATCTGCTTGATAAATTGGGTGGGAAGAGAAAATTCATAGTTTCCTGAGATTTCTTTAGCCTTCTGATTCTATGAGCATTATGAGACCCATCCTGTTAAACTTCCTGAAATCTTTCTAATTTCCTGACTGCCCAGAGTTTTCTGTTTCAGCACCACCTCACATCTTCCTACACAATGGTGTATACCCTCACTTTCCTACTGCACTTTCCTCTCCTAATCAGAAACAATTTTTTCTAAACAATTTTCCTTGCAATCCTGCTTTCTGTAGTGATAACTGGCTAATCTGGAAAATGATGTATATTAAGAGTACTAGAATCATATGATTATGTAGTCACCTTTTCCCTTAATTTTTTTCTTCTTCTAGAAAGCAAGGCTGAGCACAGTACCTAGTCTACATCCAGCAGTCAATCAAAACTCTAAATGATGAGGACAGATCTTCTGCTAGTGGGATTCTATAGGTCACGCTTAGCTTTTCTAGAGAGTTATGATCATTTGGTGATCATTTGGAGCAAGATAGAATACCAAACAGTCTTGTGACAAGCTGCTTGGGGGATGTTTAGGCACAGGTGGGGACCTTCTTCCATTCACTTATTAATTTTCTAGAGAAACTTAAAACTCACTGTTGTTCTCCCACCCAAGAAAAGAGAGGAGTTACGTGCAGAAGTGCTGGAAGGATGTGCGTGTGGGAGACTTCATCCAAATGCAGTGCAACGAGATCATCCCAGCAGACATACTCCTCCTCTTCTCCTCAGACCCCAGCGGGATCTGCCACCTGGAAACTGCCAACCTGGATGGAGAGACAAACCTCAAACAAAGACGTGTTGTGAAGGGCTTCTCACAACAGGTAAGGCTCTTTCTAAGATCTTCAAAGGTGAGGTCAAAGGGAAGAAGCAAGCCAACTCTACTGGAAAATTGAATTTAACCTGGTGGCTAGAGGAGAGAGTAGGAGATGCCTCCTTTTCCCAAGCCTTAGGTATAGTTAATCTTCCTAGCAAGGCTTTTGATGGGTATCATCCCATTATCACAGATGGGGAAATAGGCTTAGGAAAGTTAAATAACTTACTGAAAGCCTCAAAATTCCTAAATGGGGGCTCACTCTATTTAAGGAAATTGTAGTCTCTGCCCTAAGCCAAGGAGTCTACTACCTGTTCAATTACCCTTGGGACTAACCAATTTCTCTGTGCTTATGCAGTCCTTGCCCATCCTGCTCAGCTCTGCTCCCTCCACTTCTCCCTCTGAATCTTCTCCAATACTACTTTGACTCCAGCATAAGCTATAGGAAGGTATTGTTATCTATTTTTCCACTTGTGTACATCTTACTTTCCCTCCTTGAGAAATAAGGAATGATCATCAACACTAGTTAACCCCCACACTTACATGTATGGTGCCATGAATATCATAGAGAAGTCATTATTGTTTGCTGGTTAAGAGCCCATTCTCTGGAAGCTGACAGAACTGAACTCAGAGTCCAACCCCACCATTTATTAGCATTCTCACCTCGGGCAAGTTACTATTCTCTCACATCTTTATTCCCTCATCTGGAGAATGGATACAAAAATAGTACTTCTATATTAGGGTGATCCTGAAGACTAAAAGACAGGTGTAGGAATTACTTAGCATGAAGGTAGACACATAGTAAGGAATCAGTAATTGGCAGTGAATGTCAATGGCGTTCAGACGCAATATGTGCTGATAAATTGAAATCGGGTGTGATATTCCAATTTTCAATTAAAGTTCCCCTTGAAAGCGTTGATTTTCAATCTGGAATCTTCCTCTGCCCATGGAAAAGAATACAAATATATCAGTTTCTTCACTCTCCCAGCCTTCAGCGGGAGATAAATTAAATGAGTCAGGGGATTTAGTGGAAAGAAGGCAAGTGCCCATTCCTCAGAGATTCTCATGAGCTAGAGTTCACTTATCTAGATTGAAACTTCTTGAGAGAAGACAACTTGTCATATCTCACTTTGCCTTTCTCCAAGCACTGGATGAGCAGTTCTCACAAAATCACTTTGGTATGAATGATTCAGTTCCTCAGAAGTCTATTCTCTCATCCCTACATAGTTCTCCCCTAGTTCTGCTGTGAAACTCAAATGAGATAAAGATAGGAACAAAATATAGGGTTTGGTGCATAGTAGGCCCACAATACATGGTCTGTGGTTGCTACTTTGGCTATATTTACTAGCCTGGGCATATAAACCACCATGACCACATTGCTGCCATCTGCTTTTTCTTGTTATTTCACATGTTTAGTATTTCCATTGGTCTCCAGGCTCCACCTGAGTCAGCCACTGCACTGGTGTTTGATTCTGAATTTTCTCTCCTTTGTTTCTCCTTACCACATTCACCAAATCAACCTAAAGTTTACAAAAAAGCAGGGCAGGATCAGGGGAAAGTTCACAAAGCCATTCTAGATGCACAGCAAGCTATTTCTTGGCTCAGGGCCCTGTGGTATGCCATCAAGATCAGAGGCTTTTAAGCTTCTTTAACCCTAATTTACAGTAAGAAATACACACTATTGAACACATGCACACATAAACACACATAACGCATGTGGATGTGTGTGAGATGTAGAATTGCCATCTGAGCCATACTACATGCAAATCACTCTGAGACTTTCTATTCTACTTCATTTTTTTTTTTTTACAAAACTCTGAGAGAATTGAAACTTGTATTTGCCTATGATGCTTACAAATCTTCCCCTCAGCAGTCCCTCCCTAACATCCTCATCACTGTTCTGAGGCCTCTTGACTCTCTCTGGCAGCACTGTGTTGTCAGAGTTTCAACCAGCCACTTCTCTTTTTGTCTTTAGCAACAACTCTCAAATGGTTTCTTGTATGTTAATTAGTCAGATAGTTTGGGAATTGATTGGAATGAAGAGCCAGATGAAAGGGTCATTCACACTCCAGTGCAGTAGACCAGGCAATTTAATAACATGTCTCAAACTCTAACCCTGAATTCTCACAGGGTACTTGGCATAATGACTTACAAAAAAAAAAAAAAAAAAAAAAGTTCATTTGTGAAGAGAAGATTTATTTATTTGAGCTTCAAGATTTTAGGTGACATTTTGTTCCTTTATTCTCCCCCTCACTTGGCTTAAGTGTGTTTTTCCACTACTATAATAATAGTTATAATAATAATGATGCACTTTTATTAAATCCTTACTGAGTGCTCTGCATGATTACCTCATTTATCCTCACAAATCCCCCATAAGGTAGGGCTATTATTGTCCCCATTATACACATAAGGAAAAGAAGCATAGAGAGGTTAAGTAACCTGTCCAAGGTCACTGAGCCAGAACATGTTGGAACAAGATTCAAAGCCAAGTTTGTCCAAAGTCTCAGTTCTTAAGGTTCATAGTAGCTCATCTCCCTGGCCCTTTGACTATTACCCAGAGTTTACTCAGAGATGCTTACTTGAAAGCACACTTTACCATTTTCAATATTCTTTCCACCTATAAGTAAGATGTGCCGGGAAGGATAAAAGTAGGCTTAGCCAGGTCCCTGAAAAGGAGAAATTTGGGCTGTTCTTTGCTACCTTGCATCTCCCTTCCGTCAGTGCAAAAAGATCTCTGAATATAGGCAGAATTCTCTTCTAACTCTATACTCTAGCATTTCTCAAATGTGTTGGACAAACATTGATGAGAATTACAGGAAAAATATATGTTGTAAAATCAAAAAGCAGAAGATAATAGGTTACAAGGGGAATATAAGGGAAGGGAGAAGAAATGTGTGGGAGATATCAGAAAGGGACACAGAACATAAAGACTTCTAACTCTGGGAAATGAACTAGGGGTGGTGGAAGGGGAGGAGGGCGGGGGGTGGGGGTGAATGGGTGACGGGCACGGAGGGGGACACTTGACGGGATGAGCACTGGGTGTTATTCTGTATGTTGGTAAATTGAACACCAATAAAAATTAATTTATAAAAAAAAAAAAAAGAAAATTAGCATGAACAGATTTCACTAAGTAATAAAAAAGTGACATTTAAAAAAAAAAAAAATCTTCAAATATTTCAAATAGTACTGCCAGACTTCTCAGGTAATTTCATAAGCCCCAACGAGGAAAGGGGACAGGTACTAGTACGTAGCATCTCTAAACATTTAACCACAGAAAACTTTTATTCCAAGAAACATACTCTAGGACTACTGCAAGAGACATAGGATCACAGTTTAGGGATTTGCTCCAAATACATTGCAGGTGTTCATGATGTACCATAATCACCACAGGGAGAAACTTTTTAAAATATACATGCATTCTTCCCCATTATCACTAAATTATGGCTCACTAGGACTGAGTAGGGATTGGTTATGCATATTTTTTAAATGTTCCCCTATATGATCTTCACATGAACCTACCACCTACCACTCCTTGAAGACCTGTAAAAAAAAAAAAAAGGAAGGTGTCACCTCAAGCGCTTACAAAAAACACTTTCAATAATATGAACAAAACTACTATCTTTGTGCTTCTTACATATGCTAGTACTTTTGCATGCATTGTCTTTTAGTCCTTGCAACCACCCTGTGAAGTGGATATGGCTATCCTCATTTTACAGATGAAAATTCTGATGAACAGAAGCAGCAAATTTTGCCATTGTCTCAGAGAAAGTTTTGAGCATCTACAGATATGATTTGTTTGGAAATTTGATATCTTAAATGGAAATTTGATATCTTAAATAAGAAGTATCAATGGATTTTCTTAATTGTCCCTCTAAACCCCCTAGTGGCTATAAGACCTTCACCAAAGAGTTTTTACTAAAAGAGATTTCTAGAAACTTCCCACCCATCTGTACTGGTAGTTCTTGCAAAACAAGGTTCATTGTCAAATCTGATTGGGATTTGACCCTCTTGTAGGGTCCAATGTACATTAATGGAGTAAGGTCTCTGAGAAGCTGCAGTCAACAGACCTTTTAAACTTTCTTTAAAGTTTTCAGGAGTATTTTTCAGCACAATAATTTTAGCATTCCTATGAATATTTGGGGGGAAAATTAAACTGAGTTGTGGAGGACACAGGATCACAGAAGGTAAGCAGGAACAGAGAAAGACTTAGGCAATTCATTCTCCCCTTTTCCATCTAGGTTCAAATGAAATTATAAACATAAAAGAGCTTCTCAAAAGAATCTTTCTCTGGAATCCCTGGGTGGCTCAGTGGATTAGTGCCTGCCTTTGGCCTGGGGGGTGTGATCCTGGAGTCCCAGGATCGAGTCCCATGTTGGGCTCCCTGCATGGAGCCTGTTTCTCCCTCTGCCTGTGTCTCTGCCTCTCTCTCTCTCTGTGTCTCTCATGAATGAATAAATAAAATATTTTTTAAAGTATCTTTCTCCTGTACATACCACATCATTCTCAAGGTTGCCAAAGAATTGCTTTCAAAATCCTTTTCTGAGAATTCAACTTGGATAAGGCCAACTTTTTTTTTTCAATTTAGACTTTTATCATAATGGGCAATCTTTGAACGCACAAAATTACTGACCTGTTCTTGAAATATTTATTCCCACATCCCATTGCTGAGAAAAGGGAAGAAATCCAAAATTAGGCTTATACTAAGTTCTGCTGAGCAGATCAAAGGACTTTATGAGAGAATTAAATTGTACCATTTTCTCTCTATGACCTGAAGTCTCTTTTTAAAAGGATTTCCAAGATGGATAGTAGGCATTTAATACCTGAAGAGGAGTATGTGTCATTTATTTTGGTGAATGGAAATTACCAAAGCCAAAGAATCAGAAATAAATTCTTCCAATTAATATTTCAGATGAAACATATTCCTGACTATCTATTATCCAAATCACGGAATCCTAAGTTCTACTAAAACATGTGTCAAATCATTTCCCAGTACCAACCAAATGCTTACTA